TTCCCTGGTATTTCCAGGCAAACTAGATGTATGCTTTCTAAAAGTTTCCATGAGACATTGATGAAGCAGTTACAGCCTCAAGATCATGAGGTCACCTGCTCAGGTGCGCCATGTCTTAGAACAGGAAGTTGGCAGACAACATCAATAGCAACAAACCATTAAGACAAACTTAACACCAGTATTTTGAGTAAAATGTTGCACATTAAATTTCCTTGGCTCATATTACGTTCTGCTTTTGCCTGAATAATGTTGATTTGGGAACTAGACATTCCCCTTAACTCTTACGTGTTGATCTGAATGACTACAAAATAAGTTAATTTTTAAACAAAAGAAACTGTCAAGCTAGAAGTTTGGAGGAAAGCTGTAATTCAGGCAGAAGAAAAAATCAACTTAAGTTCTCAAAACAGTAATCCCACCATTAAAGTAAGCATTTAAGATGGCACAGCAAAACAGCCTCAGACAATATGCAGCTAACTTCATTATTTCAAAGATGCACAACCTGAGCTAGCACCAGCTTTACATCAATATGCCAGCATTACATAGGACACCAGATCTTTCACATGGCTTGGCACCACTCTAGCCAGGTGCCCTTATTCTGTTCAACCTTCCCTGTGCTCTCAGCCTTCTCAGTGTCTTTCAGGAACTGACACAGTGCTTTAGTGCAGGACTTCCCCTCTTTTAATAGGGAGCTGGAGATAAGCCACATTTCCCTTTCTCCTGGAATCACATAGGAAGGTATGAACAAGAATTGTACTGCGACAAGATAACCCATAAACAGATCTCAGGGCAGAGAGGTACATCAGTCACTAACACTCACCTTGTGTTACAGGTTTTATCATGTAAAAAAAGCCCCCCCCAAGGCAAGTTTCAGCCTCATCATTTTTTCTTTCTCAAGAGTTATAAGCAAACATTAATATTGTAGGTTAGCAAAGCATCCAGGCCAGGCACCAGGGGGCTCAGTTGCCCAACAGGCTTTTAGATTACTTTGATAAGGGAGGTAATTTCCCAGGTTTTTTGCCCTACAGAATCATTGCCTACAATTCAGGTTTCTTCAGGGCCACAGTGTACTATTTTTAATTGTGAAAAAAAGATTGTTTAATACAACTATGAAATTGTATGGTCAACATGCATGGGTTTGTGGATCGGTTTGGAAACCAACAGTATGAAGGTAACTGTAAGCATTTAGGACTGAGGGAGTAATTTCAAAATCATTACCTGAACAGAAGCATGAGTCATCCCAGGAGCTTTTACCTTCCATATGAGATGAGCAAGAAAGAAGCAAACAGAAGATAGTCATCTCAGTCCTACATCTCCATAAATTCAATAATAATTAATAGCATTCCAAGTGTACCACAAGACTGTAGGTACATTTGGGAAATGAACCAAGCAGCAATTACTATGAGAAAGTGAGACACCAAGAATCCACAGGGAAGAATAACAGCAACAAGTTGACATTCTGAGCACTTGCAACAATACATTATTCACAACAGAAGACAAGCTGTAGTAGATCAACTTTATTATGTTATCAAAGTTTAACAATAAAATATTCAAAATCTATTAAACACATTCATACACAAAAAGAGCATATAAAATGCTAGGTCTCAGAATATGTTCCATACAAAATACTGTTAAGTATAGAGCAGCAAAGTCATTGCCAAACATTCCCTGAATTTAAGAGGGCCTTAAACACTGTGCTCCAAGAACTACCTTAATACCAAACATTCCTTCCTTTGGTCTGCAAGTCCTTTGCAATTATTGCTAGTTATTGAAGCCTTCTGTTTTTAAACAGAATCACATGGTGACTCTGAACCTCTTCAGAAGTATTACAGTGACAGCTGAAAGCTGCTTCAGCATTTTCTATACATTTTGTCAAAAATAAGAAACATTTGGTCCTCAAGACTATTTTTGGTTTCTGAAAATATCCTGAAAGAATAAAACCAAGTAAAAATTATGGGAAGAGAAACACTTGATATGTGTTAGGTATAATGAAGATATGAAACTAAATGCAAAACATTTCAACGGTGCAGTATGGCAAATCACCCAAGTTACTCCTCTTAAGGAAGTGCCATATTCTTCTCTCCCTAAAGATTTATTTCTTCATGCCTCTCCCCCCACAGGAATAAAGAATCCTCAAGTGCACATGGCTCTAGCAAGTCTGTAACAGTAACGCTAAATACTCTTGCCTTGTAGAGGAACATGCCCTAGTAAGCACTTCTCAGCATGCTGAGTGAAGTGGTTCAATTAAAATAACTAATGTAGTTTACTTGCTGGATTCACTTTTTAATAAGAATTCCATCCTAATATGTAAGAAACTGAAAATTAAAGGGCTGAAGAAGATTGGGTAGAAAATCACAGGTTCTGGACAATAAAACAGAACTATAGTCTGCAGAACCTATCAGTTCAATTAAAATCTCCCCAGAAGCACTGTGCTTGCTCTAACAGTCCTTAGAACTCAGGTACACGCTTTCTTACACAACAAGTCTTTAAAGTGACAAACACCATTAAAAAAAAAAAGCTGAAAAACTTTCAGCTTCATTTTACCAGGTTAACCAACTCAAGTTTATTTAACAAGAGACTGTCTACTGAAAGATGATTTACTAGTCTTTTAAGTTAAAAGGTACAGTCAACTGATCTCAGAAACACAGTACTAGGTTGCCAAAATTGAGAGGAAATTAATCTTTTTGGGGAACAAAACTAGTATTAAAAAGTAGTAAAGGAAAAAGAAAAGAGTGTATTCTGGAATCATGTAATTCGAAATCACAAAAAAACCTGAAGCTAAACTCTTGGCATGAGACTGAAAATGCCACCAATTAATGGGTAAAGATCTAAATGAAGCTTATAAACATTTTCCAGATATGTTAAGAACTGTTTACCTATGTTTTCTCCTTTTGTTCAGCCCTTGTTGCCCATGTTGGTAGCCTGCAATACAGCCTCCACTTCCACTCATTCCAGTGCGTATTAACAGGCATTCTACTTCAGCAAGAAATAGAGATCATCAGCTGTTTTCTGCTACTTCTTTCTGTTGTAAACCAGTAACAGCAAATAATTTAAAATTTGAGTCAGACCACAGGAAGAGCTAGCTTTATCTTTGACCAGCCTTGGAACACAAGCCTGAAGCTTATCCACCTGCCAGCCCTGCATGAAATAGAACACTTGGCTTTTTTCATTTCAACAGTTAACAACTACTAAGGGCTTGGGGCAACTCAGTACTTAGTCTGGAAGAGTCTAGGCAAGACTGCTGCTGAACTGTAGGTTCCCATGCAACTGATGACAGGATAAACATTCCTTTTTTTAAAAACGGGAATATGTGTCCCCTCTCCCTCAGTAAAAGTAACAAGGAAAAGTCAGGGGGAAAATGAAGCTACATAAGGAAGTTAAAACCTAGGAAGATATTTAGCTTATCCATGACCCTACATCAAGTTGTTCTGGATTCCTGAATTAAAACTTAAAGCCTTAAACCTACCTACTGTGCCAGAGTCTGCATTCTACAGTAACAAAGAGTTAATTTCAACACATCTTACTGGTATGTTTCATGGCGGCAACATTTTATGCATGCTACCAAAATAGTTAAGAAACTTTACCCTTTAGACAACTTCAGTTTCTCCGAGTAATGAATCTTCAATGGTTCTGATGAGTTTCTGAAACTCCAAATGCATTTTTATTGGAGGACCTAGCATTTTGAAAGCATTCAAAGATTGTGTTGTCAGGAAACTAAGTGCAGTCTAATTGGGTGACTGGTTTTAAAGCAAACAAAAGAATCTTTGAGTGAAACTTTCTCCAACAGTTCTGTAATTACACTTCTGCAATCAAGGTTGTAAATATGGTGGCCTTTAGGCTATCACATCTGTGGCTTTCAGGGTTGATTTTTTTTTTTTAAACACCGAGTAAAACATTACCATAAGAGCTTAGCAGAACTGCATGTTCAGCAATTTATATAAACATTTAAGAACAGTGTATCCCAACTTCTTTAAAGAGCAATAATGGAACTTGTAATCTATGGAAAGTGAAACTTCATATTTTAAGACTAAAATTCTGTTCAGCTGAATGCAGTGTTGACCCAGTCACTACTTGGTCAGTAACTGGCTTGGAGCTTAAGTATTTGATGGAGAACAGGGTTTATTCTTCATACTGTATTAAGCTGGCTTCCATTTACGACCCCATTTCAGGAAGCTCACTTTTCTTTTTGAAGTAATGCCCACCATCCAATATCACTGCAGGAGATAATTTTTCACCCAGAAATGCAATTCTGCACTACATGGATTGTTTGCCAGTATACAATTCAGTTAGCTTTAATTTACGTGCTACTCCACGCAGCTACAGCTATTGCAAGCACCAACCACTGTTCAGCTTCTTTCCCTTACTGACAAGTAAAGCAGAGTGTAAGAATTCCTCAGACTCCAGATGGTAAGTAATCAGGCTCTAGAAGTTGCTATGCAAACAATTTCTTCCTTAAAAAAAATTAAGAAGCTTCAAGTAATTCACACGTGCATCTTTTCCCCCCAGAATAGTCGTAGCAAAAGAAATGCTGATAGGACAAAGGTAGTAGAGTACCAGGCAGACCTCTTCCCTATCCTATGTAGTAGATATGCACATTTACTAACTAAGGTACTAGGAACTGTGGGTCAAAATATGCAAGACCCTTTAACAAGTTCACTGTGCTTCCCAAATGATTCTCATTCCCTTGTTTTATGGGCATCTGAAATGGCAATCCTTCCTAGCCCTCCCACTCCAAACCCTGCAAAGACCACACAAAAGAGCTCAGGTATCTATGATTCTATGTAGTATGTGCAAGGGGCTGCACAGTCTCCAAGTGAAAGTCTGTATGAATACTGGACACCAGAGGCACCAAAACACATATTTGACCAAATTCGCAAAATGTGAAAATACCATGAAGCATCGTAAACACAAATCAGAGACAATCAATCATTTAGGACACCAGGCAACTTCTTGAACACAGCCTTAAAAAAAACACACAAAATAAATAATTCAACTCTAGATATCAAGGGATTAAAAGGCATTTTCCCATATTTCAGGGAAGGCATCACAGGTGAGGAAAATAACAGTCAACACAAGGTATCACAGATCAAAAAGCAGCTTTTTCACATAGGAGATAGTAGTATCATTGGATAGCATTTGAATATGCTCGTTTCCTGAAAGCTCAACTATCACCACTTCTTGTTTTTGCATGTCCACCCACTTTTGACATTGCAGGGCACTCTGCAAGTTTACTGTACCGTCCCCATCACTGTAAAGAATCTTGGGTTCTTTGTCAGGAAAACTTTCATAATGGAAGGAATCAGGTGTTTCCACACCAGTACCATAAAGACAGTGTATGCGCACACCAGGCGGGGTCATGTTGTAGACCAGGCCTTCGGTGTCTTGTCTCATGAGCCAGCCATCTTCAAAATTGATGTCCCTGTAGAATTTTCGGTAATCCCGAAGTGTGTAGTTAACAGTAGGTGTGCTTACAAAGACCTTATCTGAAGGCCATGTGTAGTTGTAGGGGAGCAACCAGTTTGTGGAAACTGCTGATCTCTGCTGGTCTCTAATCTTGAGTGGGCTGATAACAGGTATTCTATTGTTGTCACCTTAAAAAAAAAAAATTGGAATTTCATTACACACAATGCAATGCATGAATCTCAGCCAGCAGCAGTGTTACTCACAGTGATACCATGGCTAAAAAATTATTCTCTTTGCTTACAGTCACAATTGAGAAGACTTCACTCATTTATGATTGACTGGATAATTAAACTGCATTTAAATACAAGTTGGTGAATGACTGACAAACGAAGAACACTGCTGCCTTTTAATATGCTACTTTTTAAAGAGGAAAGTACTTCCTATATTAGCCAAATAAGAAATCAGCTTTTGTTAGACATCTATACCATTTGCAAGTTTTGTCTGAAATGACTCTTCTGAAAAGATGTTTTAGGGATTCTGGTACCTAGATTGTATCTGTTCTTTTGGCAAAGACAGGTACTACTATCCACACATGTAAAAACTGATAAACTTAAAACATTTTAAGTTTTGCACATTTAAAATAAGTAGACTAGCAGTATTTCATTCAAGATAGCTATGAAAATTACTATGTGATTTATATACCCTTTGGCATAATGTTTTACAAGATTATGCACTCCCTTTGTAACAAAACGTACCAGAACATGCGTAGTTGTAAGGAAGTAGCAGACCCCTAATAGTTACCTAAAAAGAGTCATAAAAGGAAACAGAAGCAAAGCAAGTATTACTGTCTGCTTATGCTATCACATAAGAATGCTGCACCAATTCAGCCTCTACGTGTAGCACTTCAGCAGAAGAAGAGTTCATACTTCTTAGCTTCTGGTGGGAACTGGGGCGGGGGGGGGGGGGGAAGAAAAGAAGATCACCAATATCAGCATCTTCCCTTCCAGTCAGCACTTAGACTGCCAAAATACTGGTGTTTCTTAGAACAGTTTCTCTCTAATGTAGCACTAATTTTCTAGAAGCTCTGGTAACCTAAACCATATCTTTGCCATTGCAGAGGTGTGGGGGGGCAGGGTGAGTTTACACAGATACAGCCAAAAACTCTTGAAAGACCAGTTAATAACTGCTGTTACTTAGGAAATGTATTCAGCTGGCCAAGCTTTTCCAGAGCATTCTATTTTCTTAATATAATACAAAACTAGAGAGCTACAGCTTATTATCAATAAAGGTCTTAAGTTATCAGATACCAAATAAGCCACAAAATTGTTACATTTCACTAAATTTAGACTTACTGTTATGACAGAGCTCATGTTTGACCAGAACATTTCAAGAATCTTTTGTAGATATCAAGTCCATTATTTTCTTAGCAGTCAGTTCAGTGTTAGTTTGAGCCATCTTTGGAACAAAGTTATAATTTATATGCGTCTTTCATTATATTATAACCATTGTTCTTCCATCTTCACAAAATTAAAAGCTTCTTGATAAATGGCAGATACAGTAATTATTAGAAATTATTAAAAAAAGCCCTGAGACAGATCTGACTATTTTCATGGTGCCTGTCCAATCTGACCTATTTTCCCTTATCACATGGCCAGCACACTGTCGACCACATCATAAAAATTGAAATACTGAAACCAAACCTGCTATTCCTGAAATAGTGCCAAAGTGTATTTTTCAATTCCATAAGGTGGCACTATTGCTTCAGCAAGGAGACCTAAAGCACAGTCTGTAATGCCATCTTTAGGAGGGCTATATGGAGACATTGCTAGTATAACTTTGAAGCAGATAAAAAGGAAACTCTAAAGAACACAGCAAGAATCAAAGGTCCAGAACAATGTGTTTCATATTACCGTGTGGTATAAATACTTAACTGTGCAGACTCCCCACTAACCTACTGAACACTACTTGGCAGTTTTCAGCAAAGAAAGCCAAGTTCCCAACCGAACAATGAAAGGAATGTGTACAAAGTTTATTTCCAGTAGAATAATCAAACACAGAACCTGACTATTCCAGCCTTCTCTTGCAGAACTGTTAGAAAAAAATCAAATCCTCTACTTTTCTCTGAAGCACAAAAGCACTGGATGGCCAAGACCATATATAAGCCAGCAGCACACCACTCATTGACATTATACTGGACAAAAAACTGAGTCTAAAACAGACACTGCTGGCATCTCAAGCTGAGATGCATTATAAAATATAAACAATATATGAAGCACAAGTTTACTCCAACAGAAATCTGGGACTGGAATTTAATATAACGATGTGGAAGTTTATGGAGGTGATATAACATTGCTTATTTCCTGCCATCACTGTAACATGCAAACTTGTCAAACAAAGCCTGTGGGGAACAGGAAATCAATCTTTACAGGGCCGTTGCAATAGATTTCATGTAACTCAGTAAGTTTTCTAATTAGTAACTGAGCTGTGCACTACTACTCACAATCAAATGCCTTTGCTAAGCAAATTATTCTTTGATCTGCCTACGCATGGCTGGCACTGCAGTATGTTCTGCATTTTATGAAGTCCAGTTTCTGATGTCAGCTTTATTTAGCAAGATAGTGATACCCAAAGCTAGCAAGTCAGAAACAAGTTAAAACACAAGCTAGAATCACCGTGAACTAAATGCCAAAGTAAATGAAATACCCCATCATGTGACACCATAATTAAGTGAACTCTTTCCATCAGTCATTTGCAGCTAGTGAAACACATTATGCTACTCTATTCAATTTTTTTTAGTCTCAGGCATATCCAGTATGTTATACCCAAGATCTCAAAGATTCACTTTCCTTATCTGTAGAATTACAACTTTTGACAGGCATTAGTGCTGTGGGCATTTCACCACCATGTTTACAAGTTTCCCTTAAGGTTAACCTCAAGCAGCTTTGTGATCTTTAATCAAAGGAAACTACTGAATGCTCTGGAGTCCTTGTTAGCTTCACAATACTGAACAGAAAGCAATCAGCCTGGAGGCAGGAGTGACAGAAATAGACAACACCAGGCCAAACAGCAGATGACAACAACCTGCTGGAAAGAGGTTAGGAGAGGTCAAGAGGGGACCAGAGCTCCTGTTTAAGGGACACAAAAAACTTAGTCCACATCTATAAACACAAAGAATGACAGTCTGGTCACAAGGCTTGAAACATCAAGTTGTCATCACTCATGTAAAAACATTAACTTCTTAGTACCTTAAGCTCTCATCCTCCAGACTAACTAGACTTAACTATAAGTATCTTGCACTACTAACAAAATACACTGCAAACCCTCAAGTTACCCACCTGAAGCCAGCACACGGAGAGTTTTAGCCACTCCTCCCCATGGAGCGCCTAATGACACATAATCCTTTATGTACTTGTCTTTCCAATCCTGAGTCTGACGGTTGAGGAAGTAGAGGGTGTACATATTTCCCATACTGTGGGCAATTAAGACAACAGGACTTCCATACTGCTCATACATTAACTCTATCATCTTGCGAAGGGCCACAAAGTAGTTTTCATTCTCATCTAAAATAAACATACACAGGTTATACAGTTATAATAATTCTGAATGCTGAACTTCAGTTTTTTAAAATGTTATTTTTTGAAATGGTTTGTGGAGTTAATGCAGACCTTAGAAATTCCAGTATTACGCAGGAGGGGTGGGTGCTTTTGTGTGGAAGCGTTTTGGTGTTGTGGGTTTTTTGGTGGTGTTTTGTTTTTAAGCAAGTTTTTAGCAAGCTCTTCAAAGCAAATAAAACCAAACAAAAAAACCCCACCACACCACTTTTGGGGCCTGGGTACCCCTGGGCCCAGGTAAGAACAAGTCAAAATTAAGGTTTTAAGTATAAAACTGTACTGGGATGGGAGAAAAGACCCAAAACATTATTTGCCGGCTGGAAGAGTTAAAGTTTTATTCAAGTAACAGTATGTTATTTACTTGGTGCCTTTCGCCAGTCATAAGGTGCTCCTCTTACATCTTCATCACGTGTGTAGCCCCAGTCTACTAAACTCTGTACCAGCATATAAAAGTAACTTCCTGTAGACATCAAGTAAGAGAGAAAGAACAGTGAAAAGATTAGCATTAGAAGCAGATGTCAAGACACCACTGCAAAACAGTCTGGGGCATTATATCTGGTACCATATATGTATGCATTAAAACAGTGATCTTAGTCTTTGACAATCTAGAAAGCTGCATATTAGATGACTTATGCTTGCTGTCTTTGACAATCTAGAAAGCTGCATATTAGATGACTTATGCTTGCTGTCACCCCAAAAGTAAGAGAATACCATTATTAAAACTAATTACTAGCTGGCTGATCTATCAAACATGGCCACAAAACGTGGCATGCACAGAACAGTTACATTTTCCTCAGCAGGCATGTGTCTTACCCTTGAATTGTGAAGGATACACCTCAGAATTACTATACTGGAGTCCCAGCTTTTGTTGATCAACTTCAGGTTGGGTAATAGAATGCATTCATGAAGGTTGGCCTGGACTTCATGACTTGAACACTTTCTCTTGGAAACCAATGCTTACAGTGTACCCCAGGGCATAAGTGTAGAAACTACCCCAAAAACTATTTTTCTGTCTGTCAGGTAGTAGATTAGGACTTACATAATGCTTCAATAGCACAGAATCGAAACATTTACAGACTGTCTATATAGTGAAAGATGTTACACATCACAAGCCTTGACACATAGGATGGAAGTGTTACCACAGTTAAATGCATCTAGTAACAGTTTGAAAAATAAATTATCACAACATCCTACTGAGTATCACAGTCATATTTAAGTTTGGAGCAGAACCTCACTCATGACTTGAGTGTTTATCATATGATCCCTCAGGTGAACATAGGTAGTTTTAAATATGGCCCTGTTTAGACATAAGAGTCATCTAGTGAAGATCATTAAGTCCATTACTGCCCTTTTGGGGATTGCTCCCTACAGAAAGAAAAAGAAATCCATGCTATGAAGCACGTGAAACTCAGTGTTTACTATTAAATTACTTAATTCCTCAGCCACAGTTAACAACTCCTCACAAAAGCTTATCAGGTTCAGTGTTTTCTGAAAGGTGACTTCTCTACAAACACTAAACAAAAAACCCTGCAAACACATCAATGCAGAAGTCTCTTGTGGCAAAAATGTAATTATATAATTTTTCTGACACTGACAAAAGACTGGGACTGGAGTGTGGTACTGTGTCGCCCAAGCCCTTACCTCATTCTTAAGGCCAAAGAACATCTTACTCAGAACTAAGCTGAAATTAAGTGGGTTTATTTTGGTTTTTCCTTGTCAAGCTTCAGTTACAGAATTTTCTACTCAAACCATCCCATTCTTCAAAAGTGTCTGTCTTCAAAGTGCCCCCTCAGGTTTCATGCAAAGAACTTAAATTTGGCAGAAGACTAAATGACATGGAATCTTCTCGTCTCAATCCATCAGGCCAAACAACAGGGAAAACAATACATTGCAATGAAAACACTAAAGTGAGCCATGTGCCACGCTATTAGGGAAAAAAATTTTTCTACTGCTAAACAGAACTATAATTTGAAATCACATTTCAGTAGCTTGTGTGAAGACACTAGAAAAATCCTACAAGTGACAAAGCACTTCAGACACAGCTTGTACTTACCAACACTCCTTTTACTTGGGTCAAGGAATTCCAAGGAAAACGTCTGCCCAAAACCTGGGACTCTGATATCCACTCCATCTGGTGGCTCTGTAATCTTACTTGTGCGATTATATACCAGCCTGGGGGAAGGAAGGAAAAAAAAGAGGAAAACATTAAACCTGTCATTATCACATGACAGCTCTCAGCTACATTGGGTCTTACATTCTGAGTGCAGGAACAAGAAGTTTAAGTGCTCTTGCCCAGGGGGAAAAAAAAAAAAAACAAAACACCCACACAGATGTGGTAAGAGTACTCTCATGGCTAAGAGGTTACACAATGCAAAAAGTTATTTTAATTAATTTAATACTTTACATGCAGAATCTGAGACTTATCTTCTCTATAAAACTGAGTACACAGAATTGTGGCTGAGCTTCAGCTTCATAAAACAGCTTATATTACACAGTTCTACACCATTTCACTTTGCATTAAGACACATAATGGAGAAAACTTGTCAAGTGTATAAGAATGTGGCAGTAGAAGATAAAATACCTGTAAGATCAGATATCAGTAAAATTCCCTAAACAGAAGTAAATAATTTCTGTTTAACTAGAACACCGATACCAGCATAAGGGTGTACTTGATATTTCCTGACTTCTATAACAATTGGTACCTCGTGAAACAGAGGTATTGTGTTGTGTAGATACTTTTCAAATCAGTTTGAGATATGAAGAATCTGGAGCATTGGGTCAGAGTTTATTATTGTTGTTGGGGTTTTATTAGGTTTTAATACTTGTATCAAGACAACTGCTGTTTCTGAATGCAAGTATTTACCCCTAGATGGAGTCTTGGAATCTGACTAGATACTCCTATCTTCACATGTGCCAACACAATGTTTTTAAATTGCACAAGGCAAATATTTGTTGTTTTCATAGAGATTCGTATGATTTTTACAAGAACATTAATGAATTGGATTGAACAATGAAATAGTCTGGAAGCTTTAATTAGGCAATGTTTTGAATCAAAAACAGTTCTGGGAAGAGGCTTCTAGACTGCCCTTGAAGGACCCATGTGCCTCAAGCTGCCCATAAGGCTGCTCTCTAATGACACACTGCCAGCAAAAGTGCAAGCTCACAGTCCTTCCCCCTTTGCCTCAAAGCTTAAGTAACTCAAAAAGCAGAAAATGTTCTGCTTTAGATAAGCCTACAGAAGTGTCTGATAAGTGCCCAAACCAACACTCGTAACTAGTAGGAGAGAAGGTGGAAGAAACCGAGAGAACCTCTGCTTTTTACCAGTGATGAACTGCCTGAGATGCAACAGAGCCACATCTTCTGATTCAGCCTAGCAGAATTCTAAGTCATTTCTCTCACTGGTCATGAATGAGGAAAGAAAGTTGAAGGCAGCCATTCTGTACAAAGCATGTCCATTAACTGCAAATAGCAATGTTTCTGGTCTTACCTGATATTATCAATCCAGCAGTCAATGACGACAGGCAGAAGCAATTCTAAATTCAGCCAGAGTGTAAAGTAACTGTCTGTCTTCTTAGAGCAGAGATAGTGCACTACTGATGGCTTATCTAACTTTGCTTCCAACTGATTACCTAAGTCCCCTGGAACTGAAAGATATAAAAAGAGAGACACAATTTTAAAGCGTATAACATTTTACATTATAATACGCACAGCTTAATACTGTAGCCCTCATATGCAGTAGCACTGCATCCAGGGATACCATTAAGTTTTGTAACTGGATTAAAAAAAAAATCACACAAGAATCAAGTACTACATGCACATTTTCCACTGAAAATATTTAGATTTTCAAAAATCATTAGCCACGGAGGGACCACATAGAATAATTCTGGATTAGCAGTTCATAACTTCAAAGAGCAGGCTATATAGGACCAGGTCATGTTAAGCCATGGGTATGAGAAACAGATTATCTCAGACATTGTCAAGATTATCTGTGTTTTAAAGTACAAATGATCTTTTTGAAAGATTCCTTTCTTCAGAGTATTACAACTGCACAAGTACATCTTCCCGTTCGCTTTGAACAGTTTGCCTGCATACTATCAATCTGCCATTAAAAAATGTGCAAAGTGAAAGCAGCTCCATTTATGTTTATTTTCACTTCTTCACCTCCAACCACTTCTGCTAACTCAAGATTTAGATGGCTAGCATAATAATCCAAACACACAGTTTCATATCATGTCCATTCAGGTTTGGATGCAACAACAGTTATGTTTACTTTTTTATATATTACATCCGTAATACTTGGAGGGAAGGGTCTTGTACTTGCACCTTCTCTGAAGTGCACTGTTCTTAAGGTATATACTAACTGCCAGTATTCCTTTGATGAAGTTTCATTTTAATTTATTTTAAACACTAGATGGAGACAGTAATATTTCTAAATTAGAACTAAGCTTAAAAAATGCTCTTAAAATTTCCACCAGCTAGTTTCCAGTGAAGCTTCTTATATTCTGTTATGCTTAATCATTTTTAACTCAAGAACCAGAAAGGCAAAAGATACTTCAATAACTGAAATGTTTCTCTGTATTAGAACAAAACTTAGGAGTTAGGCACTGCTTAAGGGTTCCCCCCACCCCTTTCAGATCCACACACTTTTTTGGGTGTGCATAACTATCCTATTTATTTCTCAAACTTTAAAGATTTTTGATGCAGGCCTACCCATACAGTTGCTTCCCATTTAACCCCCCCCCTTCAGTAAATTGTTTAATCTAAAGAGTTTAAGTTCTAGAGAACACCAGTATTTAGCAATGGCTTCAAGAAAAAAGCTAGTATCTTTTAGTGGAACACCTAATTTAAGTGGAAAGCCAGATATGCTTTCAGAGAAACACTTATTACAGAACTGAAAAAAGATAGAACTTCAGACTAAATATAGACCTGTACAACCACACTCTTAGTCTTCAACCACTGCAGGTTATGTCCCACCACATAAGATATACCTCAGAATTTCTTTATTAACTACCCCTACTTTCTCTTTAGATTTTTACTGGTTTTATTTCTGTAGTCTTAAGTGAAATGTTAAGAGACCCAGTAGCTGACCACAGTTTATTTTAGGTCATATTTCAAGGACTCTGATACACTGGAAAGCATAGTAAGGGAGATTATAGTATTGCATCACACCCTAGAAGGAGTTTACTGAAGTTCAGTCTCGTAACCTCAGAAAATGCCATTTAGATATTGCTTATAGAATTAGAAGGCAACAGCTTGTTCTGCAGTCTCGTGCCTGTGCTGTAATCAGTGCTCTTAATTAGAAAGAGAACAGAATGTAATTCTATTTATATCAATCATTCATGTCTGGCCAGTTTCAGCAGCAGACCTGCCAAGGACAGAACAGGTTGATTTTACCTTCAGTTTCAACACAAAACAAAGTAGAAAAACAACATTTTGTTCTACCCTGAAATCTCATTTCCTTGGGTAAAAAACCCCATCAAGTTCTTCCAGCAAAGACACCGTTCAAAAAAATTGCACAAACATCTGGAGTGTCAGAGTTTTAAGAACCTGCTGAGAGTTCCAAACAGCACTCCAATAATCATAAGCAACCCCACTCAGAGTAGGGAGACTCACAACTGAAGATGTTTCAGATTATAATCAAGATTATTCTTTATCAACAAGAGCACCAAAAGCAGGAAACTGTACAGAATCTCATTTGAACTTCATAGGCTGATCTTAGATTACCTGCAAGTTTAATTAGGTTAAGATATTTTATCCTCAAGCTTCTTGAGGATTGAGGCTGTGCTCCTCTGTCCAGTTGAGAGCAGATGGGAAATACTGCGTACTAATTTTTACCCAAGGAATGACACAGAACAAGTTGAAAAGTGATTATTTACTTAATTCTAAACAAAAGATAAGGGGCAAGCTCCACCCATGCCAAGATACAGTACTGCAGTTAAATAGTCTCAGGTACAGGTGTGATGCCTGTTAGTTTATAAAGCAGGGATTAACAAAAAAAAGTGGGTTTCAGGTTTACATTTCCATATTAACAGTGAAACTGCTAATCACTACTTCACAACTAGTGGTTTATTTTCTAAAGTACGTTCTGCAAGCTGAAGAGAGTTCATGATGAAGCTATAGGGAACAAAATCCAAATTCTCATTTTTCAGAAACATGCAAGATCTTCAGTCCTCACCCCACACAATTTAAGTGTTAATGATTTACATTTTGGCTGGCAAACAGCTCAGTGGCTTTTTGATAAGTAACAGGTTAAAAAAGAGCACATTGAAGATTAATTTGGTACGATAAGAACCTGCCTTGCTGAATTTTCTGTGGTGGAATTTGAAAGTAGTAGAAAAAACATTTCCCTTTGCTTTCAGGCCCTACACAGAAAGCATCTTAGATTACTCTGCCCACAGTAATTTTTCTTCTCATCCTGTCATCTACCAACACCTGTCATTTCTAAGCCTTTTTGCTGGAAACACAAAGTTCTTTTCTTTCTAAAGCCTGCAGACTGACCTCTTAAATGTACAAAATAACTGGGAAGTGAAGTTTGCAAAACAGATCAACACTAGTTAAAACTGGATGTCCAAGAAAAGATCTCAAGCAGTACCCTTGCTTCCCTAATTTGCAGTTGTGTAACACATGCATTGACTTCTGAACTGCAACATTTAGAAATACAAGATTTCATATTCAGCACATCAGATTTGAGAGTTCATCAGTTCTAGCGCATTGTCATGTTTCACAAAGATGGTAATGCCCACAGAACTCATTCTAATGCAGCAATGAGCCCAATTCACTTCCAATATTATAGTGCCCTTTGCTGGGCTTTTGTCTCAGCTGCCCTGACAAAACTGCTAGATCTTCTTGTGGGATTTCTTTTTTTTTTTTTCATTAAAACTTATGGAAAACATGTTTACAAGTTTCATTTGGGAATCTAAAAGAAGGTACAGACTTTTCCAAGTCTGGGAACTACAATAACTAGCTTTAGGATACAAAGATACTCCTATCACTACACTTAAATCTTAATGACTGATTCACAGCTTGTAGCAGAAGTCAATAAGCAAATTGTCCCCTGGCAAGTGACCAGCATTAATATGGCTGAGGAAACAAAGAAAAGCCACGAATAGGGGGATTTGAAGTTTCATTTGGAAAAAAGAATGGTACTTATATAATATGGGGGGTAGGGGGGGTTGCAGCTATTGTTTGCACGGCAGCTATTGTTTGCATGGCAAAGAGGCTATCAATTGGTACTTTTTTACCACTTTTATCTGAAATACAAATGCCTTTGACTATATATACATTACATATATATATACACACACACTACATGTCTATCTATCCATATATATATCTACTATCATGACTTTTTTACTGGTATAACTTCCTGAAGTAACTGTCGTCTTATGCTTCTATGAATTAGCCTTCCTTCAAAATCAACCAATTTTTCCAGAAAATTAATTTTAAACTCTGACCACAGTTCTCTAAGGAGAATGTCTCAAAGTAGCTCAAACTCAATGATAGACTGCCACAGAAAAGGCTTGTGTTTAAAATTAGGAACAAGAAAGCAAACAACGTCTCACATGATACTCCTAGATACCTCAGATCACATGAGGCATAAACATTTAAATCACTCCTGACATCTAGCCAGCTGACCATACAAACACACACACCTCAATTAGCAGTCAGCAGGATTTCACAGACAAACCTCTTTTGCATGTAAATCAATTATTAACAAACTTCATTTAGGTGTCTTTCTAGAAAACTTTAGCCAAGTACCTAACAAATTGTTTGCAGAAGGTATCAGAACATTGATATAGTAATTGTGTTGAGTCAGCTCTAAAAGGTAAAGAGTTCAGTGAATCCGCTGCTGATCTTACAAGGAAAGGCCATCAGCTCCCAAAATTGATAGGACATGAGATAGTAGACAGTGATTACTGATGGACTATATGAGAAAATTAAGAAGGAAGAACAGCCACAAAATAAAGGAACTTATTGCAAGCATTAGAAGACAAGCAAGTTGAATATATAACCAAAATGATTGAGAAGTGCAAAATACTATAATCAAATGTAAACACAAAACAGATATCCAGAAGTTCTTGCACAGAATATATGTCTATTTTTATTAGATATTTCAGTAGAGCAGAGGCATTCAGTAGGCTGTCCTGGTTCTTAAAGGAGACTTTTCCTGTATTAATATATTGTCCTGGATGAATAAGGAAACTCTTAAAGGCATGAAAGCAATTCAGTATCTTAAGTAGCCTCCTTTTCCCCAAAAGAAACTTGAGAGAGGAACCCCAAGGCCATCACCTTACATTTCAATGAGCATCGTGCCTTAGATGTCAAGCCTTCCTTTGGGCAGGACTCTGAAGTAAGGGTTTGATTTTTACCTTATGTTTCTTCTCTAGTCCCACTCTTAAATGAATACCCTTTGATGGTGTGTTATTTAAATCTCAGGGGAAAATGAGCAATAGCATTACAGTATTTTGCTGTCAAGTGTGACCCATGTCAGTTTGGTCCCTGGTCTTGCTCCCTTGGCATGTACAAACATGACTTTCAGGCATAGGAGCTCCTGTTACTAAGGCACCATTTGACAATGCACAGACCAGCTTAAAAGATAACCTGATCCAAATGGAGTTGTGCTGCCCTCCACATTCCTTGTGCC